GGAAGACCAAATCGTGTTAAAATTGCAAAGTTATGGACTTAATTGGTTAAAATTGAAAGTCGAGGACCAATTTGTGAATTTAGCTATAGTCGAAGGACCATTTTGGGTATTTACTCTTTTTCTTTTAATAAACAAAAAAAAAACAAAAGAGCGGAAAATTTCTTGTTTTACGTTATTACTAGTACTAGTACTAGTATAGTAGTATTCCATTGATGATTTTTCTCATGAAAATTCTCTATCGTTTTCTGCGATCGTTGTGTTTTTTTTTTTGTAAGTCTCGCGCGATCCGAGGTTCCCGCTCTTACCTTTCTCATGCAGATGCCGGTCAGGCAACCGTCGGAGGGTGGTCGTCCGCCCGATAAGGAGGTCTCACGCACGTTCAAGAAGTTCCGAAGCACGAAACGTTCCTTCGCGGATGCAATCAATCTCGTCGGCCCCAAACTTTGGAGGAGGTCGTGAGCGAAGATTGGTTCGACGAAGAGATCAATGTCGATTACGACAATGACGAAGGTATGTTAGACAACCCTCTAGGACTCCCCGTCGTCAAGTTCTCCAAGGAATTACGTAGAGAATTCGTGAAACCATGGAAGAACGCCCCTTCTACTCAAGTTTTTGGGTAAGCGCATTGTGTATAATGTGCTCCTCACCGCCTTTCACGTATGTGGAACTGGGAGGGCAAGCTTGAATTGATTGATATGGGCTACAACTGGTATGTGGCTAGATTTGAACTAGCCAAAGATTGCATGGATGCGCTTGTTGGTGGTCCTTGGAAGTTCTTTGATCAGTATGTTGTTCCACAACATTGGTGTGACAACCCAAAGTTTAATTTTCTAAATTCGATTTTAAGAAATTCTAAAATAGACATTTTTCACTCTACCAAAATTTTTATGATGAAAACGGTGTTTGAATTAATTATTTTGAGCTATGTTTTAATTGAGTTCAACACTGGGACTTATTTTAATTCTAAAAATTTAAATTCTTGGGTACATTGCGTACCAAGTTTTTGATCCATAAGTCAATCTGAGTGAAACCGGGAGAAATCTGAGAAGCCTAAACTAAGTGGTTGTCTAGAAAGTATTTTTGGAAAAATGCATTTTGACCCCCAAACTATTTAAAATTATCTTTCTAGACTTTAGTTCATGTTGCATAGTGAACCACAAGCTTTCAATACCTTTGCATGATATTTGAAGGTTCAAGCCAAAAGACTACTTTGCCCTCCACCAATCATTGGCAAGTTTCCTAGGGTTTTGGACCTATATAATCTTCACTATCCCTTTGTTCTTCTCCTAATCCCTTTCATTTGTTCATCTCCACTCTCCAAGTCTGCTAGGGAAACAAGAAACACAGTAAGCATTCTAAACTTCATTTTCCTCCATTCATTTCGTCTTCCTGGATCATTCATTCTTCCTCTTGCCTCCCAACCTCTGAGTTTCCCTTTAGCTTTGTGTGTGTCTGGTTGTTTGAGGTATTAAGGTGGTGAAGGAAGTGCTAGCTAAGTAGAGAAGAAGGAGGAATCCCAACAAAAAGGAGAACAAGAAGAGGTATAACCCATGGACGCCCACCTCTTTACTTAGACTCTGTGAAGTCAAGTTTATTGATGAAAATGTGTGGAAATGCTAGATTATTGATGTGGTTGAGCTATTAAGTGATCTATTGTTGATCTATATTGTGTTGTTGAGGATTTGGGAGTGTGGAATTGCCCTGAGATGGTTTACAGGTGAAGAGAAGGCCTCTAGTGCACCAGACAGCCTCACGGTACTAGACAACGGACCCCGTGGAGGTCCGCCGACTAGTACTGTGGAGCAACGGTCCCAGGGGATGGACCATGGAGTGGTCCGCCGCTTGGCGGGGCTCCTCAAGCCCCGCCAGGCCAAATCTGTGTAGTGGACGGGCTCTTTGTGGCTCAGCTACGTGTCGTTCTGATCGAGATTCGCAGGCCCTTGAGGCTCGGACACTCGGGATCGTTACGACACACTAGTAAAAAATTGATTTCGTTGAATTTGGAGTTGAAACGCTCAAACTACAGTAGAAATTGTATTGAGAATTATTCTTGTTGTATTCTGTAAGTTGTTTAAAGTCAAAGAAAGTTTAGGCTTTTGAGCTTAGCTATTTGAATGAGAAGCATGTTCATTATTTGATTGTTGGATTAAAAAGCATGATCATTATTTGCCAAGTTTGCTTAATTAGCATGTTTAAATAACCATTATGAGTTATTGAGAATTTTGTCAAGAATATAAATATTTGGTTTATACAGTACATGAGCTTATTTGAGTGCAGCGAAGTGAATTACTAAAGTATGAAATATAAGTTGAGTTTAAGAAGTGTATTTCAAGTTTAAAGAGCATGATCAATATTTGCTAAGTGTTTGCTTAGAAGATTTACCAAGAATTGAGTTCCATAATTAGTAGTGCACAAGCCCATAAAATCTGCTAATTAATTATTACACCCTAATAAAGACACTACCAAAAAGACATCAACACCCCCACATGCAAAGTAATCTCACGCACAAGGCATTGTATTCAGCCAAATCTAATCCATCCAAAAACCCAAATAGACGCACCAGATCAAGCTTCACCACCTCGCCTGACAAAGGTAACCTCACCGGATCCAAAACCTATATATATATATATATATATATATATATATATATATATATATATATATATATATATATATATATACTTATAGCATTTTGACATTTCCTGTTGTACGACTTGCATGATTTGCATTTAGAGTATGATGAGATGGACAGTACTCCGTTGTTGCTTATGAGCTGGCATGATAACATGAGCTTGTTTGTTGAGTTTTAAGTATCTCTTTATCTATCACTCTATCAGTTTGAGCATGAGTATTGCATGATGAGCTATGATTAGAGATATTTGTTTAAAGCATGAGAATTGTGTTAAGTTGAGTCTTTGAGAAAAACATGTTTATATGAAGTACAGGTTGCAAGCATATAGAGATTGTTTGAGTATGTATTGAGATTGTTGTTTAAGTGTTGCAAAGTACTTGAGATTACGTGTGATTGTCAAACGTTTTCCAAATCTATATCTATAGTACTTTACAAGGTTGAGTGGCTTTATACTTAGCATTAATTTGCTAACGAGTTTATTTTCCTACTTGTTTTTATAACTCCTTTCAGGTGGACCCAGTGTTTGAGAGCGCACGAGATAGATTAGTGCGTAGTTATGAATGGTAGATTCTAGATTAGATTCTACTTTGGATATTTGATGTTTTGATGTTGTTGACTAATCCTTTTGTTGGTGCTTGGACACCGGGGTTTGTTCCCCAAGTTGTTAGTGTTGTTTTGATGAGCTTGAATCTAGTTAGTTATCCTTTTGTAGCATGTGCAGTCACCGTGAGTGGTGGCTGTGGCGGTGACACCCGTTTATGTTGGATTGGTTGGTTTTAAGTTAATTAATATTACTTATCTATCTTGTTTAAGTTAAAGTATTTGGGATTTAAATTTAGAAAAGTAGGGTGTTACAGTATTAAAGACCATATTACGGATTATTTCAAGAAGCTTTTTTGTAGGGCTCCAGTGGACAACAGAAGTGATGCACTGCTGACGTGCAATCGTAGCTTGGATGTAAGTCAAGTGAATCTGCTTATTAGACGGGCCACTCGTAACGAGGTTCACACTGCAGTTTTTGGGATGAAACGGTTTGGGAGCCCAGGGCCGGATGGTATCTAAGCAGCCTTCTACCAACAGTTTTGGGAAATTGTGGGGGACCCGGTCACGGGCTTTGTCAATAACGCCATTCTTACGTGCACTGTGCCAACAGGTATGTTGGAAGCCTATATGACCCTCATTCCTTAAAAAGATAGACCGAAAAATGTGGGGGATTTTAGGCTCATTACTCTCCTCAATGTTATCTCAAGGTCGTCTCGAAGGTAATGGTTAACTGTCTGAGACAAATTATGAGAAAGTTAATCAGTCCTTTCCAAAATAGTTTCCTCCCCGGGAGATCCACCCTTGATAACATGGTCTTGACACAAGAGGTGGTTCACAGTATGGATAGGAAAAAGGGGAAGAAGGGTTTCATGATTCTTAAGCTTGACATCCACAAAGTTTATGATAGCCTTGATTGGATTTCCTTGGAAAAAAACCCTCCTTACCATGAAGTTTCCTAACCGGCTGATTTCTTTAATTCTTTTCTCTCTTAAAGAAAGTAGTATCTCGATCAATTGGAATGGCAGCAAGCTGCCGCCCTTTGGGGTTGGGAGAGGGGTTAGGCAGGGAGATCATTACCTTTTTTATTTTGGTCGTGGAGATCCTTTCTTGGGTTATTCAAGAGGAGGTTAGGAAGAAGAACTGGAAACCCTTCAAAGTGGCACGTGGTGGTACTGAGATCTCCCATCTATTTTTTGCAGATGACCTCATGCTTTTCGGAGAGGCTACGAAATATCAGCTTCAGACCATCCTATCCGTCATCGACAACTTTTCGAAACAATCAGGTTTGACAATCAATTTCAATAAATCTTTGATTTATTGCTCGCCTAACACTTGTGCAGGGTCGAAATGAGACTTGGGGAATCCTCAGGCATACCAATCACCGACAAACTAGGGAAATATCTAGGAATCCCAATTCTTCAAAAAAGGTTTTCCAATCAGTCCTTTGGGTATATCCTAGAAAATATGAAAAAGCGACTTACAAGGTGGAAAAGGGACTCCCTAAGCTTAGCAGGTCAAAAAGACCTTACCCAATCTGTCCTCGCAACAATCATTGTCTACACGATGCAAGCCTTTGCCCTCCCGAAGGGGACTTGTGAGAACATTGACAGGATTGTCAGTGATTTTCTTTGGGGAGACACTCAAGACAAAAGGAAGATCCACTTGGTTAATTGAACCGAGGTTTGCCAACCTCGTCAGGTAGGTGGTTTGGGCCTTCGGAAAGCGGAGCATTTTAATGAAGCCCTCCTGTCTAAGTTGGCTTGGAATATGTGCACCAATGTCGACAAACTATGGGTAAAAGTGATGACGGACAAATACGTCAAAAATGGAGACTTCTTTACAGCACCGGTACCCACCAATGGGTCCTGGGTTTGGAAGGGCATTTCGAAGGGGAGACACACCATTATCTCCAACGCTTCTTGAAGAGTGGGTGACGGCCGTTCAATTAACATATGGTCAGACTGGTGGGTGGGAAACAATGCCCTTGGGCTTGATCCATCGATATCCATCCCGGAGGAGCTGTCTCACTGAGAGGCAATCTCCAGAGTCATTCACTAAGGTGCCAATGAATGACATGAACATGGTGGTCGATTCCTCTCGTGGTTATCTAGAAAGAACCTATCGGTTTTACACGAGAGACAAAGTATACGAATTTGGGCATGGACTAAGCTATTCAAGCTTTAGTCTTGAACTCTTATCATCACCAAGCAGGTTAAGCTTATCTCAATCTATCAAAACAAAATTGAGAAGGAGCATTCTAAACCGCGGGGGGAACGAGCCCTATGTTCATGTGGATGAAGTGTCAAACTGTGATTCATTGGCATTCTCTGTGCGGGTTTCTTTGAGGAACGACGGAGGCATGGATGGAAGCCAAGTCGTGATGTTATTTTCTAGAGAGCCGAGGTCTTATGCAGGAGCTCCGCAGAAACAATTGATTGGATTCGATCGAGTCCATGTGTCTGGCAATGGAGCAACTGAAACAAGCATTTCTGTAGAGCCTTGCCAGCATCTGAGCATTGTGAATGTGGAGGGGAGCAGAATATTGGGCTTAGGTGATCATATTCTGAGTTTAGAAGAGATAGAGCATGTTGTTTTAGTTGAAATATGATCCCAATTACTCAATTCAAAGATTTTACCAATCGGATATTTGATTTCAGGATCATGCAAGAGGTAATCACCTTATTTTATATTGTGATAATTCTAGTTTCATTAACTACCATAAAAAAAAATTCAATTTTACATTTCCGAACCAAACATGTCTATAGACATCAGGATTCACTTTATAAGTTAATTGGTGTAAGATAAAATTAGCTGTTTAGAATATGTTTCCACCAATAGTCAAAGAAAACGCCACAACCCCATAACTGACTGACTTAAATCAATGGAGCAAAAATTCAAACTCATAACCTTGTCATTTGAATTGAGATTACCCCCAAGAAGGGGGCAAATTATTATGTGGACCATGGTCCAAAACATCGTCGTGAATATTATGAGTAAAAATAATATACACATCTGGGGTAACATAATGCACATTATGTTTTAAAATAATGTACATTATTCTTTATAATAATGTACATTATGTTTTTAAAAAATGTATGTTGCAATTGAGTGTGCAGAAAAATAAAATTTAACAAACCAATGTTGTTCCACAAACCATGCAACAACTATTCTAAGAAATTAGGTCCCACCAAGATTTGAACTCGGGTTATTGGATTCAGAGTCCAATGTCCTAACCACTAGACCATGGAACCTTAACGATTCCTTCTGTATTTCTTTACAAAATAGTTTTTCTTTTTTTAAAAAAAAAAATTCTTTTTGAAAATTTCCATATTACTAGTTTTTGGATGATTACATGTTGCTAATAATAATGAATTTTTGCTGCCTGATTCCTGAATGAGTTTTTCATTTTTACTTTTAATAAACAAAAAAAAAAAAAAGGAGTAAAATTTCTTGTTTTACGTTACTATTTGTTCAATTTTTGTTTGTTTGTTATGTTTATTTTCTCGATTGTATGATTCGTATATAGTGATTAAAAATTTCAAATTTTCCTATATATTTTAGGATTATGCTATACATCCCTAATTTTATCACTCACAAACCACCACTCCATAAGGTGGCATAATTTTAGACTTTAATAAAATAAAAAAAAAATGCATAAGATTTTCTCACATCTATCTATATATATACATATACATATCTACATCTACATCTACAATTCTAATAAGAGCCAATAAGTCCTTAACTGGAACAAAAAAAATGTCGGTCCTATTGTTTCTTAAAATGAATGGTTCATATTATACTATTGTTTCTTAAAATGAATGGTTCATATTATTTTTATTTTAGTATTTTTTATTGATTTTCCTTATTTACCCTCTATTATATTATTTTCTTCCCTTAAATAACCTAAATTCCGTTAGCATAAACTTTAGTAACGTAATATTCCGTTAAGTATTTATTATTTTAACTAACACATTAATTTTTATAAGAAAAGTCTTAGTTTCGAACCACATCCCAATTAGAGTTGCCATAATTATTAAACATATACTACGAATATGTTAAAATATATTTAAAATATATATAATATAAAATTTAACATAAACTTTGTTCAAATAATTAGTCTGACTAAATACATAACATTCAAAGTTAAGCATCAAAGATTATAAATCAAGAACTTTAAAAATCATTTGATCAGAAAAAAACTTAATATTATTTTGATTATTTAGATCAGAAAAAAACTTAATATTTCAATTATACTTTTGCATTAATATTTTTTGTATGTATTTATTTTTTTAAAAAAATGAATAATTGCATTATTGTTGATGAAAAGCATATACGCCACTTTATTACTCTTATTAAACTAAATAAAGTAGTAGCTACAACAAAAAATAATACATATGTATTTAATTAATTTAGAATTAGATGTCTATAATGCCTTTATTTAAAAAAAATTATTCATTATAAAAATTTTTAAAAATAGATATAATTTCATTAGTTATATTATCTTTATTTTCTACAATTCAAAGATTCATTACCTTCAAATTTATCAATTTATTATATTCACTGCATTGTCCATTGTCATTCTTTTTACATTATCTTGTAATTAAATATCAAAGTTATAATACAAAATACATTATATATATTTATTTACCAAGTATTTTAATATTTTGTTCAATACTTTCACATGATAACCTACGACACACATCTCACAATGTATGAAACATGTAGGGAAAAACTACCACTACCAAATATCAATTAGAAAATTCAATAAATATTATCTTGCATTTATATATTTTGAATTACCGATTTAAATAAACAAATTCAATATCAACTATCAATCAACTATACTAATAAGAGCCCAAGAGAGTTATTAGGCCTATAATGGGTAGAAAAAATGGCGGTCACAGATTTTAATCAAATGAATGGCTCAGATTGATTGAAAGATTGATCAGATTTAAATTTTACACTAAAATTTCCTAAAATACCCACACATCGTTACTAATTCCGTTAAAATTTTAAGAATTGCCGTTAGTTCACCGTTAACTTACTCATTGATTTCAATAGAAAAATGTCTTAGGTTCGAATCTCATCCCAATCAAAGTTAGCATAATTAGTACTCTATTTTACTCTTATTAAATTATATAAATAATAATTTAGTAGTTACAACAAAAAATAATACATATGCATTTCTTTAATTTATAATTACGTGTCCACAATGCCTTTATTCAAAAAAAAATTATTCATTATCAATAAATTAACTAAGAGAAATAATTTTATTAGTTATATTGTCTTTATTTTTCTTCAATATGAAAATTTTTTATATTCAAATTTATTAATTGATTTTATTCGCTACATTATCCTTACAATGTCTTTATTCAGTGAAAAAAATTTATTAATTATCAATAAATTAATTAAAATAAATATTTTCATTAGTTATATTGTCTTTATTTTTCTCAAATGTACAAATTTTTACATTCAAATTCATCAATTGATTATATTCACTACATTATCTATTATCTTTTTTGTGCACTATTTTTCTAATTAAATATCAAAGTTATAATACAAAATAATGCCATATATTTATTTACCAAGTATTTTATTAATACTATGAAAAAATTAAAAAATATATATATAATTAATAAAGCCAACCATATTAACTACTTGAGAGATTTTGTGACAAAGAGAGTATTCAAATCACACAACAAATTGAAGTGAGAACTGTAATGTCCTTGTTTGACAATCAGCAGTTAGGGTTAGCGTTAGCGGATTATACTAGCGGATTTGACCAGCGAATTTATTTAATTATTAACATTGGGTAGAAAAAATGACCGCCAAATTATTAAATCAAATGAATGGTTCAAATTGTTCAGGTTTTAACTTTTTTCTTTTAAGATTTTCTAATTTATCCTTAATTATATGATTATCCATTTAATTTTTCCGTTAATTCACCGTTAGTCTAATTCTAATATTAAAGTCTAATATAAAATTATAACTACACCATTAATCTAATTCTAATATTAAAGTCTTAATAGAACTTAACCACAAATCCTAATGTCGGAATCTCCTCAAACAATATTAGTATATATTTAATATTTTATGCCCTAATTTTTATTTGTTCTCCCTTATGTTCCGTATTTGGTTTCAACCATACCTATACAATTATTTTATTGACAATTATAATCAATCTTGACTATATTATCTTGCATTTGTAAACTTAGAATTACCTATTTAACCCGCACCGGCTTAGCTCAATGGTTTAGTGGATAGTATTTGGGAGAAGAGACCAAGGTTTGAACCTCGGCGGCGGCAGTGCGGGAATTATGTCCAAAGTGGGCAGATTCCTTGTGCATATCAGCATTTACAACCTCCCACAATGCTCTGTCGGGTCGGAGTGTGAGGACCCCAGGGTCGGGTTGGAGACTCAACCTTTGGGAGAAGAATTACCTATTTAAATAAGCAAATTCAACCTTCAATTATCTATGCATGAACAATTTCAATATAATCCTGCCTTAATATACTTTAAAGTACTTATTTAAAAAAAAAAAAAATGGGCATTATCCCAATCGCGCAATGCGCGTAAAAAACTAGTTTATTTACATATACATGAACATCTCCGATATGCATGTACACCTTGCAAGGTGGACAGGGTTCCATAGCATAATTTGCCCATTTTATTGCTCTTAAACTAAATAAAGTAGTAGCTACAACAAAAAATAATACATATACATTTAATTAATTTAGAATTAGATGTCTATAATGCCTTTATTTAAAAAAAAAATATTCATTATAAAAAATTTAAAAATAGATATAATTTCATTAGTTATATTATCTTTATTTTCTACAATTCAAAGATTCATTACCTTCAAATTTATTAATTTATTATATTCACTGCATTGTCCATTGTCTTCTTTTTACGTTATCTTGTAATTAAATATCAAAGTTATAATACAAAATACATTATATATATTTATTTACCAAGTATTTTATACAAATATAATAAATATTAATATTTTGTTCAATACTTTCACATGATAACATACGACACACATCTCACAATACATGAAACATCTAGGGGAAAACTACCACTACCAAATATCGATTAGAAAATTCAATAAATATTATCTTGCATTTATATATTTTGAATTACCGATTTAAATAAACAAATTCAATATTTATTTACATATGCATGAACATCTCCGATATAATATTGCGTTGATATACTTTGAAATACTTATTTAAAAATAATCATTGGGCATTATCTCATTCGCGCAAAGCGCGTAAGAAAACTAGTACAATTCTAATAAGAGCCAATAATGTTAGTAGTATTGTTTCTTAAAATGAATGGTTCATATTATTTTGATTTTATTATTTTTCAATGATTTTCCTTATTTACCCTCTATTATATTATTTTATTCCCTTAAAAAATCTAAATTCCGTTAGTATAAACTTTAGTAACGGAATATTTCCGTTAACTATTTATTATTTTTAACTTACTCATTAATTTTTATAAGAAAGGTCTTAGGTTCGAACCTCATCCCAATTAAAATTGGCATAATTGTTAAATATATACTACGAATATGTTAAAATATATTTAAAAAAATATATAATAAA